AACTGCACCCAGTTTGGACTCCGGCGGGAACCCATGATCCAACATGGGCTACTAACCAACCAACCTTAAAAACACCCAGAAATTCAGGTGCTTGCGTTCTGAGACAACGCGCACTGCACGACAACACTCCAGCCAAGTGTTAAGTGAAACTGTCAGAGAACTCGGAAGCGGTGATAGCCGCAGTCTAAGCCGAGATGGATAGATGAAATAATTCAGTCCCCAAGGAACAAAGTAAAGTAATAACGTTACTATCAGAGACGATGCGCTAGAAAAATACTCATCCTGTACAAAATCTCGGCCCTGCAGACTCTAAGACCGCAGCTGACAAACAAGCTGATACAGACACGCACTTCTGCAGTCCGATGCAGTATCAAAGAGAGCAGGAGCTTGTTTGAACTTACCGGCAGGTGTAAAAATGAGCGGGAGTAGACTAAAATGAGCCAGCGTGGTCACATAGAAGGCGAGGCCACGGATTTTACGTGAGACGACGGCAAGAAGTCTAGCGGAAGGAAATGGAAAAGGAGTGGGGGTTGTGAGTACACTGGTCAGAACGAAGTTCTGAAAAACAGCTTCAGTGAGAGGCAGCGCGCAAAGGTACATGAAAATGAGGACAATTCCCGCTTGAAAACAGTCTGAGAGTAGTTTACTGGGAGGTGATAATCCATATGCGAGTTTCATGCAAGTAAGCTTTCGAGTTCGTACTTTGGTTCACCTTAGGGTGATTGGCTGATGCAGTAGGTGCGTCATGTATGTGAGCAGTGCAACGGTTAGTAAGTAATGACCACGACCGGTAGCAGCACTAGGCAACTAGGGCGGAGCTGTCGCGTACGAGGATAAACAGAATAGAACACAGGTGATTTAACAGCAGTCTTTCTAGACCACTCAAATATCCCAGTGAGCGAGCTTTCATAAAGATTGGGGACTTGAGACAAAATAATGTTTTGATCAGTACTGCCCAATTTGCCACCAGTTTGTTCCCTGGCATTGGTGACAAGAAAGTTGGCTGCATGTCTCGTGTTGACTTATAAAATAACTTGTGATCGGATCTGAAGATGTTTTGCTTCGAAATCACTCCCCAGGTATCAACTCCACAAGAGCATATTAATAGAAACGGGCGAACTTACAGCAGAGGAAGAGTCACCGTCAGAATGGCCTTTTCATGGACGTGCCAACTGAAAAGGAAGGCGGCCCAGGCTGCAGCTACTACAGCCCGCAGGAGGATACAGCCCAAAACCTGTGGGTTTTCTTCGTCAGTTGGATTGGTGCAGCGCTTGCAAATTAGAAGACTGGGCTATAAAAATGGAAACATTTAAAATAACAATTTTTCAATACAGGAAGTAGGGGGAGATAATCAGAAAAGACTCGCTGAAAGACAGAGTCAAATAAGCGAGCCCGAATCTGTTCCGATTACTCTACTGCTGAGCTATGTCCACAAAACCTGCCGACTGCGTGCGAGTTGGTCG